TTAAGTGTATCGAGTGAGAAATACAGCTGTGAGTGATTGTTATAAATATAAAGTTCAGGGCACCTTGCACTTTATTCATCACTTGGTGGTAACACATACTATCATTCACATACGTAGTAATATGGCTGGGTGGAGTGTTTCTTTTATAAAAGGTTAATTTTCAGAGTTGAATTCATTTCAGTTTAATTTGGATAGTGCCAAACAACCACACCAAAATCACCAGTAAAGTGTCATCATTGCTCGGGGGGGTATGCTCTCAGGACACTTTACAAACTAAGGTCTTACTATTATTATTATAGAGAGAAACCTAACACCCCCCCAGCCCCCCTTGGGCAGCATTTGGTGACGACAGGTAGGAAAAAACTCCCTTTAATAGAAGAAACCTCTGACAGACCTCGGCTCTTGGTGGGCGGCCTTCTGCCTCGACCAGGACAATATATAAGTTTCTGTTGCATGCATTTTGTTCTTTGAAGCTTCTGCTTGAGAAGACTTGACCTCCAGATTGAGACTTCAATCTTCACCCAGACAAGGTAGCTGGTCTCATTTTCTCATTCAAACTGTCACATTATACAGAATAAAGATAAAATGGCAGGACAGTGAGCAAGGGGAAGGTGAGGAGAGGTTACAGATAAAGCTGGCCTGACTTCTTTTCCACAGTTGAGCTGCTGACTTTCAGTCCATCTTCACAGATCTGCTTCATTTTAACTACATTGTCCTGTTTTCTTCTGTTCAGATCTTGATACCAAAGGATTTGTGCAGAATGCAGAGCTTGGTGACTGTGTGCAGCCTTTTTTTACTCATCTTTTCCGGCCGTGCACATGTTGTGGATGACTTTACGGTTTGTGTTCTTCTTTTGTCACTGCATTCAAAACCTTTGTAAATCAAAAGCCTGTGAGTGGTTCACTTTGTCTGTTTCTGTTATACAGAATGAGTGCAAGGAGTTCTTTTACAAAAACTTTGAGCCAAAGGGGCTGGGCTCCGAGAATCATGCCCACATCTGCCAGTCTTACAGCAACAAGTAAAACGTCAAATTTCAATCAAATGACTGAAGCTGTAATTGAGACCTGTCTTAGACCTTCACATTAAAATGAGCTCTAGGAATCATTTCAATCTATTGTTATAAGTTCAGGGTTTTTGATCAAATGTTTCTTAACCTTTGCTCCACAGCTACTACTTTGCCACACTGTACGACACCTGCAATCGCATTCCTGTCTACTCTGCCTATGTATACCAGCCCACTACTGAAGCTCCCCAGAGCAGTCCTTGGCATTTAGAGCCTCAGGTACATACTTGTTTATATGTATGTGTGTGCAAATATAAATGAGTTCATGTCGGTTTTAACATAAAATATATAGAGAGTGTTTATGTGTTTTCTGTAGTTTTGTAAGTTGTATAGAAAATGTCATTATAAGCAAAGGGAATCTTTGCATTTGTCTCAACAGTACCATCTGCATAAGCTTTGAAACATTTTACTGAGGTGAATCTTCTTTGTAGCTGATCGACAGGACCTGGGATAAAAACATGATGCGTATTAAGGAGATGAAGAATACTTATAAGATCACTACAGCTTTAATAGGAAAGTATCAGGCTGTGGAAGATGACTACAAGAACTCTGGTTACAGCCTTGGTCACCTCAACCCCAAAGGATACCATGGAGGTAAGGATGTTTCATGAGGAAGGAAAAGTTTTCAGCATGTTTTGTTGTTGTTTTAATTACTCTATAAAGACAAACAGAACCTAACCTGCTGATTCTTTACTTATGAATGCAGTAAAAGTTTGTGGCTAAAATGTTCATTATCGATCCACCCTCCATGTACACCCAAACGTTTTCACATCTACAAATTATAAATGTATATCTTGTCTAAGTTATTATTATCCTTAGGTTATTGTGACCCCTGTTGCCTGTTTCTCTTCATTTTTATTTTATAGGTGATGCCAGCAGAGCCACTTTCACCCTGACCAACGTGGTTCCACAAAATATTAAACTGAACGGACAACACTGGCAGCAGTATGAGAATGAGCTCAAAGAAGAGAGAACGGACAACACTGGCAGCAGTATGAGAACAAGCTCAAAACGATATTTGCAGATTGCCACAAAACCTATGTTCTGGTCGGTGCAGTTCCCTCTCAAGACAACTGGCTAAAGTATAACAATGCCAATCGTGTCAACATCCCTGATTACATGTGGCAAGCCTACTGCTGTGTGGACAACAACGACGTCCCCATTAAGAGTGGTGCTGCAACAGCGAGGAACAATGATAAAATAAGAGTGGTGCTGCAACAGCGAGGAACGACAATAACCCGGTGCAGGAGTGCTCCCTGACAAGCCTTAAAAGTTTCTTACATAAATTCAACCAAAATAGAGAACCTCCTGAGCTGTTTGCCAACTGCAATGCACAGACCACCACTGAGGGAGATTGTTCAGCTGTTATCTCTTAAGTCATACCATATTAGTATGAATTCTGTCAACTAACACAGTCGTATGACCCTGAAAACTGATCTTCCATATACATGATGTCTGTGTGTCAATTTAATCAGGTCTAACAACATTATATTATTCTGAGAAATCAAGAAATAAAAAGCAATAAGCAGATAAAGTGAACTGTGTGTTTTTTAACCGAAATTTATGTTGTACTGTCAGTGGTTCGTCTAGTGCTGTGAATTCACAGCGCACATTAACCCAATACATTTAATGGGCTACACAGCAGAGGAATAAGGAAAGACCACCAACACCAGGGAAACTGGGAGAACCATTTCTCTATGGAGCAGGCTTTGTGCAGGGGGAGCCGTCATGCTGAAACAGGACAAACTGTCACTAGAACTAGGGAACCCCTACCAGCAACAGTGAAACCAAGTAAAAGTACATCTATGTGCTCCTTTTCCAGCCAGTACTTCTCCTCCTCCAGGTAACATGAGATGATGTTTCAGCATCAGGTGCTGACAGAGTAAAACCCAAAGCAGCTCTGTGTGCAGATTCAGGGGCCCTTGAATGAATGTGATCTCTGGAGGCCTGAAGCAGCAGCGGGACACACTTGCTGCACTCAGTTACAGTAAATAGATCTCTGTGCATTTTTTTAAACATGTATTATGACCATGATATCACTATTTCATTTTTTAAATATCACCTTAATACCGGCATATCCTGACACCCCAGCTACAGAGGATTCAGTGCTTTAATAAAAGGGTGAGTCACATTTACTCTATAAGTCTGTTTGTGGGGTAAAAATTGACAAACCTTTAAATATTTAAAATATTTTTCTAAACTCCACAGAAATCCCCCCCAATCCCTGTTTTTATGATGAAAATATTTCAGTTAAACAGCTGTCATTGCTTTATTTAATTTTACTTCCTTGTTCAGCAGAGCCACCACTTTTACTTGTTCCTGAGATGAACATGTAAGATGTTGGCTATATGAGTCAAATCTTATCGGGTACATGTGGCAATAATTTGTATTGTTCTCACTGTGAACAAACCTCAGCCAACACGGAGCGTCTCCAGCACACCCTGTGTCCATCTCCCAGCCTGGTGTCTCTCCTCCCCCAGAGCCACAGAGCTCCACTGTGTCGTCCAGCCCAGCAGAGACATGCTCCTTCATCAACATGAACACACACTACTGGAGTTTATTCTGACCCACACACACCTTCCTGCTGCCACGCACACTAGAGACCAGATGTAAATTTCCACACACACCTTCCTGCTGCCACGCATACTAGAAACCAGATGTGAATTCATCAGCAGCTGAAAATAGTCCCCAACACATGCACTGTTTGCTCCTGTTTGCTTGATAAAAAAAATATGAGCAGCTGTTTTAGGAAATTACTAAGCCTTTTAAAAAATGAAACACAATCTACAAACTGTCAGAAAGTATAGAGAGATGACTGACACACTGAGGGTTTTGGTCTTTTTACAGGATTTGTTATCAATAAGAACCAGAATTACCACTTAATAGTTGTACACCTCCACCAACCAGCCAAATTCACGAGAATGGGACAGATGTGAGGTCACAGTGACCTTTGACCACCAAACTCTAATCAGTTCATGCTTGAGTCCATTTGAACACTTGTACTAAATTTGAAGAAATTCTCTCCAGGGGTTCCTGAGAAATCATGTTCACAAGAATGGGAACCAGCCATACTCTACCACTCCTCTTATACACTAAAGGGGTAGTTAGTGAAATGCTGGAATGAATGAATGGCCACCTGATGGTGCCAAAGTAAGAATAAGTCCTCATTAAGACCAGGATCAGTCCAGTTCTGAGACTTCCTGGTTGTAAAATAGTTGGCTTTAAAATCTGATAGAAATAACATCAGGGGGTTTGTGACAGGAGAGAAGTCAAAGATTTCCAGGATGTGGATTGTTTCTGTGATCTTACTGAGAAATGCTGCTCACCTGACAGTCAGACACGTACACTATTTAATATTAATATCAGAGAAAACCGTTCAAACGTTTGACAGATGAAACATGTTTAGTATGATACAGCTTGTTCAGGTTTGAAAGCAAAATATCATATATGACTTTATGATTTGATAGTAAAATAGAACAGTTACTCTTACATGTATAATACAGAGTAATCAATCAGACAGATAAAACGATCCCAGAAGAACATCTGTTCTTTAAACGATACTTAAACCTCCTCATGTCTGAAACATTTTCCGCTTTGTCTTCGCCATCACAGGGGCAGTTTGCCGGCGAGGGGGACCTTCTTCTTCAGGTTCAGGGTGGAGTTGACCTGCTGGGCTGACAGCAGGCTGTGCCACTGAGCGACCGGCCGCCGCGGGTTGGACAACATGTCAGCCCAGTGCTTCAGCTGGTTCCCCGAGGCGTCGCAGCCCAGGAAGATCTTCCCAATGGCGTCATTAGCTGTCATGGTGTCATGGTCCCACACAGAGATCACCAGGTTCACCCTCTGAGGAAACACATTAAACAGCAGCACAGCAGCATTAAAGCACCAGACTTGGGGATGGATGATGTCCCCACGGGCCCCTGGGCAGATTCTAAAATATTACCATTAGCATCAGTCAGAGTTTGTCCTTTCTGCTCTCACTCACCTGGATTTGTTCAAATGAGACGTCGAAGGTGAAGGATTCATTGTAGTAAGGGTTCAGCGTCTTCTTTTTAACAGACGTCTTCTTTTTCTTCCACTTCCTCTTGTCCAAAGCCAACTGCACCTTCACATAAGGATCTACAAACAGCAGGTGGAGCAAAGTCACTCAGGCATCGACTTCAACACGGGGAGGGGGGCAACATAGTTACTGTGCCCCAGCCAGTTAGCCTTAGCAAAAGCTAACTTACTCACTATTCCAGGCCTAGTTCCTTTAACTGAACAAAACGTTTGACAGTCCAATACCTCAGGATTTAATTTGTTATATATGAACAAGGCAATAACTAAATCTATTATAATGAAGAACAGTAACAGTCCTGGTAAAAACTAACTGGCCTAGTTTTGGTGTCTTTTAGATTTATATGATTTCCTTTTTGCTAAATAATCATCTGAAAGATTCATGAAATATAAATATTATAGCTGTTCCACTTGAATTAAGCAGCCTTCAAACTTTCTCACCCTCCCTGCAGCTGCTCTGTTCTGCCTCTGTGGGGCAGCGTTGTCCACCCCTCCAACACGACCTCCACACATTTCAATAAAGAACAAATGAGTCCTGAACCAGAGTAGAAACACAGTCACCCTAGTCTAACCCCTGGGAAAACGTTTGTGTTGCTCTGACCTGAGGACCCTCTGATGTCCATGCTCTTCAGGTTTTTGGCCTCCAGGATCACCACAGTCAGTTTGCCAGCTGTGGGGACGTAGCGCAGAGAGAAGCAGATCTCCCCCAGGTTTTCTTCCTGCAGCAAACAAACACAGAAATCCTTATGACACAGATCCACGGCCGTGTTCACACATACGAAGTTGCCAGTATCTTGGCCTCTCATCACTCTGTAACTCTGGAGGTCCGGTCTCACCACACACTCACAGTGGTGGCAATGTTTACAGTCGGCCATTAATTAACTAAAAGCACTTGGTGTTCTTTGTCTGTTGCACATTTTCTAAACTTAGTTCAGTTCACGTTTTATATTACTTGTGCCATAAACACTAATCATTTTACAATTATCAAATGAGACTATTTATTTATTAAGCAATAAGATTTTGTGACTGCAACAAGATTGGCAAGTTTCATATTAGTCAGATCTATAATCTCATAGGGCAGCATCACCTACAGGTGAGAACAGTTTATTAGCACTGGTGCCAACTCAGAGGCCCTTGTCAGGTCATGTGACTCGGGCCCTTGCACACTGTAGTGGTCCTTTGAGAGTCTCCCATGTAAACCTTTAAGTCAAGGCACCACTTTGCCTCGGTACCATCTCACCAACATCTTCTGTACATTACCTCAAACTTGGCGGGCTCGGCGAGGTCTTGCCACTCCTCAATGACGTGGTTCCAGTCGACGCTGGCGAGCTGCATCCTGATCTCGCCGATGATGTCGTGTTTGGTGAATCTGTTGAAGTCATACACCTGCATCACCACTGTCGAGTTGAGGAGGGAAGACTTGGCAATCTGTGGAAAGATCAGTCAGGTTAGGAGGAAAATATTTTTCATCTGAACATTTTTAAATTAAAACTATTTTAGCTTAATTATTAGTGGGTTTTTTTTACCAGTTGCTTTTTACTGAATTACTGAGTGGTATAAATGCTACTGAAGTAAAAGGATTCTAGGCAATTTACATCCTTGATTTCAAACTAAAAGCTTCTTTAAATAAAAATCAGTTTTCGTTAGTAACGTTCTTATACAAATTTAATGTAAATGATAAAAGTTCAACCTGCATTTTGTTCAACCATTTTCAAACTCTTACTGAATGCATCAAAACACAGGAAGTCATATCATCTCCTACCGGGAAGGTAAACTGTTCGTTGAAGACCGGGTTGAGTGTGTGTTTGAACACTTTGGTCTCGCAGGTTTTGATTTTCTCGGGAAGGAGGTAGACTCTGACGTACGGGTCGGAGCTTTTTCCCAGGTCCATGGCCTTCAGGCTGTCGGCTTGTTTGATCCCGATGAGGAGCTGTGAAGACACACAGTCATCAGAACGGTACTGACGTGGTTACAATTTTAATCTGTGTTGTTTCTGGGAGCAGTGCAGTGAGCAGGCCCGGCGGTTAATCAGGCTGCACTGTAAACAGCTGGTTATAACCACCTCACACAGAGCGGCGTTGTACTCCAGAGAGTAGAGCAGCTTTCCTCTGTACTTCTTGGCCGTGCCATAGTTTGTATCCCCCGCATCAGACTGAGCCTGTCAATGCACAGGAAACACATCAGGTTAGATCTTCATGCAAACAGGGAGACCAGCAGAGCTGGCACATTTGGCAGGAGCTTTAAGCAGAATCTCATTTATCCCACCAGTTTTAAACCTTAAATAGTCAAGAAATAACAGCTGTAGAATGTTAAACAAAGATCACACCGAGGACAAAACAAATGAAGGGTACTGAAACAACATACAAGTAATGTAGGTTGATGCATATATGATCCACTGAAACAAAAACAGTCAATTCTATTACTGAAGCAAAGCACTTAAACTAGCTCAGGCAGAGCTGTGATGCGCTGTACTCACTATGTCATCAACGCAGCACACCCCTGACATTGGGGCAGTGTATTTAACAGTGACGGGAAGTAACTAAAACCATTCACTCAGGCACAGTATTGGGGTACTTTACTTGATTTTAGTGAGGATGCTGCAGCTCAGGTGTAAATTTTTACATTTTAGTTAAACCTGCAGAAACAACCTGTGAACTCTGACATTTGATCACCTTCTAAGCTCATATGTCGAGCAACAAGCTCAACCCTTTTAGCTCTGTTTTTGGTCTCCGCCAGGCAGCAGCTGAAGTCAACCCATCAAAATTGCCATGCCACTGATGGCCGCTAGACATTGGCTCCAAAACTGTAACGTTGTGGTCCAGACACTAAGCAATGAGCTGAAACGCACTAGAAAACTCTGCTGCAGAGCCGGCTGATCATTCTCTACAGGTTCATTAGTACCAGAGTCCCCTGAACATTAAACACTGCTGTAACACCCTGTCATGTCACACTTTGCTACTATAAAAATATTAATTATAGCTGCTAACATTTGTGTTTCTGGTGATGCTGCTAATCCTGGCAAAAACACCCTGACAATGACATGCTGCCTACAGACAACAAAAGTAACAAACTCCCTGTTGTGTTGCACATATAAAAGATTCACAGATTCACGTCCAGAGGCTGCTGACACTCACCAGAGCTGCAGTTGATTTCCCGTCCACGCCCTTCAGGTTCGTCTTCTCACTCTTCTTTTTCTGCTTTTGCTTCTTCTTGTCCCCTTTGCAGCAGCACTTGATGCAGATGCACAGACAGCAGAGTAGAATGAGCAGAACACCGGCCACAAAGATAGCGTAGATGGCCCATCGAGGCACTGTGGCAACGAGACGGACACCCACTTAGCTAAGACATGTTATCAAATATTGCTGCTATGGTGAAACTTCAATCAAACAGGTTAAAGACAGGTTTTCAGGTCTGTCTCAAAACAAGAGTCAAGTGACCATCTGTACACTGAAACAGGTTTAGCTCACTGTAATCAGTTCACAGGAGCAATTTAAAGATCCCTCCCTTATGGTTTCAGTGGAAGTTAATCCACAGTCCTGCTTCTGTGCAAAGATCTATTCAAATGTTTCCCACTATTTTTTTTACCTTTCTTAGATCAAGTGATTGATCAAAAGTATAGATTTGATGTACTTGCATTTACTGCATTTCCATTTGATATTGTATCCCCACTACGTTTCTGCATTGTTGCTTTTACTGCTACAGATCTGAGTACTTCTTCCAGCACTGTATCACTCACAAAAACTACAGATCTGAGTACTTCTTCCAGCACGGTATCACTCACAGAAGATATTTTACTGCAGAATGAGTACCTTTGACACTATAGGTACATTTTACTCATGTACACTCATGTATTTTTACATCGGAGAGACTGTGAATGCAGGAGTTTTACTGCTAATGGAGTATTTTGCATTGTTGTACTTTTACTTAATAAAAAGACACATCCCGCTGAAGATGTTAAGGTTTGGCTTCCAGATCCTATGGATGAATCGTTCTCTGCCATTCAGTGTTTTTGGGGGAGTGCTGCTGTGGACTGGTTGGATGTGCAGAGGTTTAGGTCGAGCTAGTGTTCGGTGACTTACAGGGGATTTTGTCCAGCAGGTTGCTGAAGAAGCCGCCGATGGCGGCGACGGCCGGGTTGACGGTGGTATTAGTGCTGCTGTGGGCGGGGTTTGACGTAACATGTGATGCAGTACGTGACTGAGAAGATGTCTTTGGTGGCACTACAGCGAAGTTAGGCATGATGAAGAGGATGGAGAGGAGAGTTCTGGAAAAAAGAGAGAACAGTTTGGCCTGTAGTGGTAGCAGGAGGCATTAGTCTGTCACAACAGGAGAATCAAACGCCATGTGAAAATCCCACCCCTCTACACCCATAACAGTTTTCAGTCATAATCTAATGTCATGATACCCAAATTAAGTAGAAATTTTACAAGAGGTACTACATTAAACTAAGTGTTGATATTTTAGGAGGAATTTTGTTATATGAATAAAGTTTGTAATGTTAAAATAAACTTAAACAAGAAAAAGCTGTAATATTTTTACTTTTTACTTTTTAAGACAATTAATTTGTAATTTTGCAGGAAAGATGATCTAACATTTGGAGAATACTTGTTGATGAAGCCATATTGTATTGTATGGGCTATTTGTCCATATTTGACATGTACGCAGCCTGGGGTTGGGTGGAGAGGAAGGTAATGGTTGGAGGAGGGAACAAGGGTTGTGTCTGGATTCCAGCCTTAAGTATCAAAAGTGTTAGCAAAAGGTTTGTGCAAAATACAAGTTAGTGCACAGTTATTTTAATGTATTGAACGTATATGGTTGCTCATTCAGGTCATTGCACTAATGAGATAGATAGATAGATATAGATAGAATAGATAGATAGATATAGATAGAATAGATAGATAGCCTTTACTGTCACTGTACAGAATACAACAAAATTATACAGCAACTCCCAAAACTACATAAAGTAATACAATAAAATAAAATAGAATGTCAACAAGTACAAACCTTAAACCCTAAAACCATGACAATAAATAACATAATAAAAAGCTCAAAGTTCCATCAGTAGCTGTAAGTATAATAAACTGGGTTGTAGCAAAGTTTTAATGTTAAATTGCCCAAAGAATATATGTATCGTGTGCAGCCTAAAGGCAAACAGGTAAACAGGTCAACCCACTTACTGTACTGATAAGTCAAATGTTACGTATTCAGGAACACTCAGTGGTTTACTATGTGAATTCCTCCTGTGTTTTAATGTGAAGAGGTGGAATTACGAGACACATTATCTAAAAAAAAAAAAGAAAAAAAACATCAATTTTATTTAATAAAGAGAACATCTTCTGTCTCTGCTTCTTCCTGCAGAAAACAGGAGATGACTGAGCTGTAACACAAAGGCAAGAAACAGTAACATTACTCTCACCTGATTATGAGCAACCCATTTCACATTGTATAAAATCTATGATAAAATAAGATATTGACTGAAGTCACATTTCTTGTTGTAACAGTCAAACAAAGTCTTAAAACAACATGTTGTCGGTTTGCGTGTTAACTACATTTTGGCCCGAGGAAAAGAAGGAATTCCAAAATGGCCTCCACTTCCTGATTGAACCCAACTTAAACACATTCAAATGATGAAAGACAGTGTCAGAGTTCACACCGTTTTTGTGGTCATGCTAGGACAAAGAAGCCTGGAAGAATTATGTCTATAAATCTGTAAAACCATTCACTGTCCTGTTATTTTTGGCTGGTGAAAACTCCTGAACTGCAGTTTGGAGGCTTCCCAACAACAGTGACGTATGAAACCAAACATCAGAGCAACATCAAATGCTCCTAGCATGACTGAGTGCAGTTCTAGCTGCAGGCCTCCGCCATGAACAAACAGCAGCAGAACATTAACCCACAGTCTGATTCACTCTGTTAACAACACAATGTTGCAGCACCGCTGCCGTGTTCCCGCCTAGGGAATCCATTAGATTAAGGTAAAAGGCCTCAAAGCTAAACCTCTGCTACCTAGCCTTTGACCCTCATGTTAACCTAATCCTAGCAAAATGGTCCTCTTTCCAAATATGTCCTGAGTTTTCAAAAAATGTTGCGCCTTTAAATAAACATTATAAAGGTCCTTATTTTCTCAAACTATTCCACCCTCCAAGAACAATCCTCACTTTAAAAACTTGTTTACAGAATGTTTCAAACATATAACTTTATGGAAACGTCCTTTCACTTTGGGTTGAATATTTAAATCACCCCTGATAAACACAGACAGTAAATTCTTCCTCCATCCCATCATACTAGCCTTGGTGGTCATAGGTCACAGCAGACACATAACACCTGCTTTGGTGTTACTCAAGGACGCTGTCTAGGGCCTCTGCTTTTCCAGTTTGCATGGTTCCACTGGATGTGTGCATGACCACAGTGAGCTTTTTCTTTTTTAAAGGACACAACATGTGATCACTGATCCACAGAAAGCAGTTACACCTGTAAGAGGATTCCCCACACCAAAACATTTAAATAAACAAATGATTAAAAAAGAAAATATATTCTAAACCTCTCCTCCATCCTGAAAACACTCAGAGATAATGACATGATGGGACTTTTTTCTTCTTTGAAACTAGCGTCTGTTGGTAGTCATTAACCATAACCTAAATACAAAACGCCCAATCCTCCTGTTGAAAGCAGCTAAAGAATCTCAAGTATTTTACTCACTGTTCATAAGTTTTACAGAAACATCAACACCCCTGCTCGCTGCGACACCACGACTGGCTGAGACTGAAGTGTTTCTGATCTACTGCTCAGAGTAAACAGGAGTCCTGTTGGAGAACCACTGAAGATGAAGGAAGTGACATCTAACAGAAAGACTGGACCAGGCTTTTCCCAGAAACAACTCTCAAACTGTTTGATCAGAGAAAGGAAACGTCTCCTCCCTCCATCTCCACCCAGACTGTCTTCACTGTAATCAGCA